ATCAATATAGCACTGCATATATTTCCAAGGATTACAAAAACACCATAAAGTCAAAGGAAATTATGATCTTATAAATTAGGTTCATTTCAGCTGTGTTCTATGTTTCTTTTTTATCATTGGTGTTTTTATTTGAAAGGGACATTGATCACCTTTACTTTAGTTCATTATCTGTAACAGAAATTTGGGTTTAAAATGTATCTTTTTCCTAAACAGAATATACATTCCCATTGTCAGCATATGCTATTAAAACATCCCATAGTCTTAGTTTCATATCAAGAGAGAGTAAGTAATGAATATCCACAATTAAGTTGAATTGGAAGACAAAGAAACGTGGGATTTTAGGAGTTGCTTGGGCCTCTGGGAGATGTTCTCTGCCATGATGTTCAGAGGTGGACATTGTGCTACAGCAGATATTTTGGTTTAGTCGCTAAGTCGTGTCCAACTTGCAACCCCATGTACTGTAGCCTGCCAGGCTTCTTTGTCTATGTGATTCTCTAAGCAAGAATACTGGAGTGGGTTGCCATTTCTTTCTCCAGGGGATCTTCCTGACCCAGGAATCGAACCCAGATCTCCTGCATTGCAGGCAGATTCTTTATCAACTGAGCTACAAGGGAAACCCCACAGCAGACATCTTAGGAAACTACAACCTCAGAAAGGGAGGGTAGAAACAGGCAGATTTCCCTTCTTTCATAACCAGTCCTCTTCCTCCACCCACCCCTCCCCAACTCAGGCTGAATTAGTCTGATTCTCATATTCTTATTTGTAACAACTACTTTTGTTTATGAAGAGCTGTATCATTTTTTCTGATTTCTGCAAAAAAAATAAATAAATAAAAACACATTGTGCTGGAAGCGCACACTGTAATCCTAATGACATTAGTCTGTACATTCCAAAGTAGTTTTATGTGGCTTTTTTGGTAGATGATTGAATATGAATAATAAAATATGCAGGAACAGGTTATATGTCTGGTTCAGTATGTTCTATGTAAGTAGTCATATAAGTGTCTGTTTTCCCTGGAGAGTTGTGAGCCAAGATCATATCTAAGCCATTTTAAATTTCTCCAGCACCTACTACAATGCCTTGCATATAGTAAGCACTCAAAAAATACTTGTTGAATTGATCTAAATGTGTGCTATTTTGCTATCAATAGCAAATGTAATGGAAGCTGCTTCTAGTTAATGCCAAGATTTTTTGTTTAACCATTTAAAGGATGTAACTAATTATTGATATTATTCCTCATAAAAATATAGCCTATGCAGACAAATGATAGAGTGGTGGGGATCCTTCACTACTGTCCAGTTCCATTCAAATACCTAAAGGACAGGCTTTCCCTTTTCCTTTCACCACTCCTGCTCTGGTTGTCAAGACCTCCAAAAAGGGATGCTTTATCAGTTTCAAGGTCCTTGAAAATGAAGAGCATCCACAAGGGACTTTTAGCTGTGAGCTTGCAAAGTCTCAGAGAAGGAGCATGCATCCTTTCTGCTGAAAAATTCCCCACAACTGACAGGTAGCTGTCGATGGGAGGCCTACACTCCACTAGACGAGTTTCTCAACGGTGATGGGATTGTCAGTTGGGGAAGGACAAGTCTTCATAGTGACCATTTAGCACGCCTGGTCCCCAGACAATATATAGTGGTATATTAGTGATCCCCCAACCCCATTATTTTGACAACCAAAACCTCCCTAGTAGTGTTTCTAGAAGGTCACTGCGGAAGTGATTTTGTTCAGGCTTAGAACTGTCGTCAACGGCAGAGTAGTGTGCAATGAAAATACTAAGTGTTCTGCAGGTGATCTAGGCTCCCAAGGGGTCTGTGATCCTTCTTTCCTAGGTCCTTGGCAGCCTCTCAACACTGACTCTGCTCCTCTTTGATGAGCATCCCATTCCCTGTCCCTAGGACATGGCCTGTGGCCCCTATCCCAGGTCTAGTGTGGTCAAGAACTATTAAGGGTGCGAGCTTTTGTCCAATTTGCAAGCTACACACTAGCTGCTACAATTTCACAAATCTTGGTGGACTCTGAGATCCCTGGGTCTGAGGCAACAGATTTTATTATTCATGGCTCAGGAGGCAGCTTGAGTTTTACATTCGCATTCGTTCTCCTTGTCCCCCAGGTATCATGGGGGCCATGTGGGGGTGGGTCCCGGTGTTTACTGGGCATGAGTTGATTTGTGCCACAGCCAAGGAACCCCAAACTTAGGAAATCCTCACTCTTATAAGGGGGTTACATGCCCAAATATGCCCAACCTTTGTCCCAGAGGGAAACATCTTTATTATGTTGGTCAGGAAGCAAACCTGTCCTCTGCCCCAGAGGGAGACAGTATTTCTGTGTTTCAAGGCTGTTTGTTCTCCAGACATCCTTGAAAAGATAGCCCAGAGGGAAAGCAGTGACAAGCTTTTGCAGAGAAGACAACCATGGAAAAACTGCCTCCCTGAAAGCGTCATACCCCATCTTGACTCCTCCACTTGAGAAAGGGGAGTCGTGACCTCCCTTCATGCTCTGGTCACCGTATAAATTCAGTGTTCTGCTTTCTGCTTTCCTCAGACCTTTCATTTTGATTCTCAGAAATGAGTCGGAAAGTCTGAAAAGTTTTTTCTTGCTATTTTCATTACTGCTGTAACAACTCCACTTCATCTCAAGGTAAGGTGGATGCCTCTGACTCACCAGTGGACACGTTACTTACAAAGAAGTAGAGAAAGGAAAAGCAGAAAGATTTCAATTTCAAGACATGTTGCTATAATACATTCTGACCTATAAAACAATGGTCATCGAGGTGTTCCATGGCAGAAAAACTGTCACCCTCTTGCTCCCTCTCCAGTTCTCCACAATGTGAATCTGTATCTTCACAATTGTTATTCCCATATTCCAGGCATCCAATAACAAAATCAAATTCCATGGACAGAGGAGCCTGGCAGGCTACAATCCATGGGGTCACAAAGCGTTGGACACAACTGAGTGACTGAGCACACAGGCCATCGGGGTCTCAGGAGAACATTCTCGTTACCAGATGGCCAGCTCTTCTCCCTTTGATTTCCTTGTTTTCCCCTAGGAGACTTAGGACTAGAGACTCTTGACTTCCTCTCAAGTGCAGTTCCCTGGATGCCTGGAGAAACTCAGGGGGGAATTGACCTGTTAGGAATTTCTGTGAGTTACCTTGCTAGCCTCCCATATTTTATACCCAGATAGGGCCCTGGGGATCCTTTATCATGAGAAAGGAATGACTTCTAGCTGTGGGATATTTTTCTCTCACCTGGGAGTTCCCCTCTTGCTGGTCCTGGTCCTCATTCTGCCATCAAACGGTGGCTTTTCTGCATCTGGATTGTCATAAAGAAGCACTAGTGGCCGAGTCAAGTGTTAAGCTCCCTGTAACTTGTCCTTGACCTCAGCTTCATATTGAGCTGCATTCCATACTTCTACTCCCTTGCCTGTTCCCAAGGCACTTTCAGTTCCATCCAGTTGAATTCATCAATGTGATTTAAGCACAGATTACTAGCCTAGAGAGGAGAGTCCAATAAGATGTATCAGGTAGTGCTGTTCTCAAGATGTTGACAGCAAATGTCTTTAGAATAGGACAACAGAGAAAGTTATAATGCAGTGTAAAATATAAAGCACAGGAGTGTGTAGGTTGACATAGAGTTCCACTGAGGAGAGGCACTTATTGTTTAGTCCCTAAATTGTGTCTGACTCTTTGTGACCCCATGGATTGCAGCGCAGCAGGATCCTCTGTCCATGGGATTTCCCAGCCAAGAATACTGGAGTGGGCTGGCATTTCCTTCTCCAGCAGATCTTCCCTACCCAGGGCTTAAATTGGCAGGCATATTCTTCACCACTGAGCCACCAGGGAAGCCTCAAGGAGAGACAGTATTAATTCCAATTATGGGATTTGGAGTCAGATAGACCAGGCTTGGAATCCTGGCTCTACTACTAATTAAAAGACGCTTGCTTCTTGGAAGAAAAGCTATGACAAATCTAGACAGCGTATTAAAAAGCAAAGACACCACTTTGCTGACAAAGGTCCATATAGTCAAAGCTATGGTTTTTCCAGCAGTCATGTATGGATGTGAGAGTTGGACTAAAAAGAAAGCTGAGCACTGAAGAATTGATGCTTTTGAACTGTAGTGTTTGAGAAGACAATGAGAGTCTGTTGGATTGCGAGGAGATCAAACGAGTGAATCGTAAAGGAAATCAGTCCTGAGTATTCATTGGAAGGACTGATGCTGAAGCTGATACTGTGGTCACCTGATGCGAAGAGCCGACTCATTAAAAAAGCCCCCGATGCTGGGAAAGATTGAGGGCAGGAGGGAAAGGGGGCGACAAAGGATGAGATGGTTGGATGGTATCAGCGACTCCTTGGACAGAATTTGAGCAAACTCAGGCGATAGTGAAGGACAGGGAAGCTTGGCCGTGCTGCAGTCCATGGGGTCACAAAGAGCTGGACACGACTGAGAGACTGAACAACTAAAGATCAAATTAAAGAACAAATATTTTTGAGGGAAATACTGTAGATGAAGGAACACTTTCTTCAAGCACGTTCCCAAACTCCTTAACAAGGTTAAACCAGAGGCTTGAGACCAGCTGCAAACTCCGAGTCCTGGAAGCTGGGAGGGTCCAGATCAGGTCCCGCCTACTCGCGCGCTCCTATTTACGCCTCCAGGAAGAAGCCCGGATTAGAGGCGCAGCAGCAGCAGCAGCTCCAGATCAGGTGCAGCAGCCGCAGCAGCGGAACGTGAACGCGGCGGGTGCGGCGCAGGCCGAGCCAGTTTCCAGCAGCCGCAGCAGCGGAACGTGAACGCGGCGGGTGCGGCGCAGGCCGAGCCAGTTTCCAGCAGCAGCAGCAGCAGCGGAACGTGAACGCGGCGGGTGCGGCGCAGGCCGAGCCAGTTTCCCGGAAGGACTTCGGGTCCTTGCTTTTAGCGGCTCGGCGCGGGGTTAGCGTCTGGGAGCCTCTGCTGTTCCGTTTCTCTGTCCTGGTTCCTGAAACTGCGTCGCAGAACCCCGCAAGCATGTCGGGGTTCAGCCCGGAGCTCATCGACTATCTGGAAGGGAAGATTTCCTTTGAGGAGTTCGAAAGGAGAAGAGAAGAGAGAAAAACCCGCGAGAAGAAAGTGAGGAGATGATAGGCCTGGATGCTCTGTCTTGTCGCCCTAGTACACTTAAGAGATGTGAAGGACCCACTAACCCCATTCACCCTTATGGGACGGGCCGCGTGCCTCTAGCGGTTTCTTTCCCTTTTTACCGAAACTCTGGTTCTCACAGTATCCCTGTGCCAAACTCCTCTTTAAAACATTTCACTCACCAGAAAGCCTTTGTCTCGGTGGTAGCTACTTCTCTCTCTTTTTACTGTTGTTAAATAGTACATTTTTTTTTTTTTTTTACTTGAGGGTAGCTTAACGCTGGTAGATTAAATGGGGTGGAGGTGGAGGTGGGGTGTGGGAAGTAGAATTTGGAGTCAGTTTGTATCTGGTTCAAGTCCTAGGTTTGCCGCTGTATTTTTGTGACTTTGAACGCGCAACTCACCTCTCTTCTTTAGGCCTCAGTGTCCATTTCCGGACGGAGTGGTTTCAGCCCCCATTTTTGAGGAGTCTCCCAATGGTGTGATGTAATCCTCCACAGAAAGAGTGAATTTTTTTGTCTGATAACAAAATTCTCTGGTAAATGAGGAAATACATGACTTTTTCATGTCTCTTCACTTGAAGTCAGAGGGAAAATAAAAGTAATTGCACCTTTTGAGGTTAGCTGTTGGATTCTTTCCTAAATCATGCAACCAATAGTGCCCATCTCTTTTCATTTAAAAAGCAAGGCTGAAAAAAAGAAAAAAAAGGCTGCAATGTGTAGATTAATGAAAGTATCAAGGTTTTTAAAATTATTTTTTACAAATGACTGATTCAGACTGAAGAATGAGACCCAAGTACAATGACATGCTTTGACAATATTCAAATTTAGATTCCACATACTATGTATGTGTTCAGAGCTCAGGTTTTATAGAAATAGAAAATGAGACAGATGTTCTATTCTCAGCTGAAAAGAGCTAAATGTGCATTTGTTTTTGGAGTCATTAATTAATTTTTAATCCCAGAGTCTTCAGGAAAAAGGAAAGTCATCAGTTGAAGAAAATCCAAATGACTCTGAAGTTCCATCATCATCAGGAATAAACTCTACCAAATCTCAGGGCAAAGATGCCAATGAAGGTATGTTAAGATCACTGCCTCCATTAAATGTTAATGGTATCTAATAATTTAGTGAAAGTGTGTGTTTTTTTTAAATTGCTGTGGTATTCTGTTGTTGATACCTAGCTTTTTAGGAACATAGTACATGGTATATAATAGGTGCTAAATATGTATTTGTTGAATTATTGATTATACCACTGCTTAGTGGGCTGTGTTTCTGGAGAAGGGTTTCAAATCTGCATCAGTGTTTGGGAGCCTTTTGGGGTCATTGTTTTTTAAATTGACCCTCTCACATGGTTGCTAATTATTCCAGGCTATACTCCCCTAAATTGCAATGAATTATAATTCTATACAAAAAGCTTCCGAATCGCTTCTTTAATTATGAGAGGTAAGATAGAAATGTCAGAGTGGACGGCCAGTTGGCTGTCCACCTGGGACCTTACACACAGCTTACCTCATTCTAGGGTCCAGTCCTCAGCTCCACACGACCAGATACTAAATTTGGTTACTGCACCCAGAGACCAATTAAACTTATGAGAGCCTAAGTGATGAATTAGTAGGCAAATTATTAATTTCTGGTGATTGATCAGAATACTAATGATAGTTTGTGGTATCCAGTCATTCATATCAAGTAATCTGGGATGCTGAACTATCAATTAGAATTTAACTTTGGGCATAGGGTCTAATTGAGAACTAAAACTTTCTTGCCTTACTGGGTAGAAATGGAGGCTGTGCCGGAGACCTAGGTTCTATCCCTGTGTCGGGAAGATGCCCTGGAGAAGGGAATAGCTACCACTCCTGTATTCTTGCCTGGAGAATTCCATGGACAGAGGTGCCTGGGGGCCACAGTCCATGGAGTCACAAAGAGCTGGACATGCCTGAGCAACTAACATTTTCATGTCTAATTGAGAACTAAGCTAAACTTTCTGGCCCTAGTGGGTAGAAATGGAGGCTGATTCTTTTCATTCTAAACAAATAAGACTTTACATAGAGAAAACACTAGTTGGGTGAACAGAAAATGAACAGGTTTTGTCTGCCTCCTTGGACCAAGTGGGGAAGAAAGGGCAAAGAGGAGAGAAAATTAGGATTATAGATTCTTTGCTAGGCAAGTGGAGTGAAAAAGCGGGCTGAAGTTGTTCTAAAATCTGTGAGTCCTTCTTTATCTGCTCAGAGGAAGAGCTGCTCTTCCATCGTACTGTTGTCTTTGAGGTGCAAGTATAGTAGCAGGGGTGCTTGCCAGTTTTCCGCCAGTGAAAGTAAGAAGAGTCAGTCGCTAAGACACGTCTGACTCTTTGCGACCCCGGGGACGGTAGCCCATCAGGCTCCTCTGTCCATGGGATTCTCCAGGCCAGAATAAGAGGTGGTCAAAAAAGGTGGTTACTTGAATCAGTGCTTTCTGCTTACTGTGAGCAGTCAGGCATACTAGCCTCAGCTCAAGCTCCCAGTTTCCTAAGAACGTATTTTGTATACTGACTTTGTATTCAGGAACCTTGCTACATTCATAAATTCTGACAGTTTTGGTGCATAGATTCTTTTGGATATTCTATGTATCATCATGTAATCTGTGAATGACAGTTTTATTTCTTTGTTAATCTTTATGCTTTTATTTCTCTTCCCTTATTACATTGATTGGGATCTCCAGTAAAATCTTGAAAGGAATGGTGATAGTAGGCTTGTCTCATTCCCAGTATCTTTGGATAATTAGCCATTAACTGTGTTTGTGGAACCTTTTTTGTAGGTACTTTTTATCAAGTTAAAGGTATTCTCTTACATTTCTGTTGACTAAAAATTTTTATTAGGAATAGGTGTCGGGTTTTATCAAATGCTTCTCGGGGGGAATTTTCTGGCAGTTAAGTGGTTAGAATTCAGTGCTTTCACTGCCAAGGTCTGAGTTTCATCCATGGTTGGGGAGCTAAGATCCTGCAAGCCATGCAGCATGGCCAAAAAAGCTTCTCTGTATCAAGATGATTGTATGCCTTTTCTTTTCTTTTCTGTTACTGTAATAAATTTTATTGATTTGTTTTACAGCTTTCTCTTTATATTTATCTTGGGTGTTTAGAATTCTTGAAGATGATCATTATGATATAGTAATTATTACTATAATATTTGTTCCTCAAAACATGTGGGTTTTTTTCATTCTCTTCTTCCTTAAATATATTGACTGTCTTATTTTCTAGCATCTTTGGGGTTTGAGGTTATTTTACATAAGTGAGTAAGCTTAGCATTTTTTAATAAATATATTTATGTACATTTATTTTAACTGTTTTGTAGCTTTTCTAAAATATGCCACATCTCTGCTTTAACAACAAATTGGCTTCTAAACTTTTATTATTCAAGATAATCATTATAAACTTAGAGAAATCATTTTACTGTAGTGATCTCCTCAGATACAGAGGAAATATGTCATGTTATTTTTTTCCTGAAGTAATAATGCTGTTTTAATAATAGCATTTATTAAGCTCTTACTGTATGCTGGGCATTTTTCTCAGTATATATATTTGAAGACTCAGAGTAACCCTGTAAGGCAGATGTAATTGACCCCTTTCACAAAGGGATACCTCAGCAAACTGAGGTACAGAGAGCTTTGGTAATTTGCCCGAGGTAAAACAGCTGGCAGCAGATGGTGCAAAGTTTGAAAGTGGACAGCTTGGCTCTAGAGGCCTCACCTGAAACCCCTGGTCTGTATGCCCTGATCACGTCCCGCTAGACGTGTTCTTAGGTCTTAGGTTGGTTAGGTCTTAGGTCTGTGTCCTGAAATTCCTTAATTTTTTTTTTCCTTTCTGCTTCTTACTATTACTCTGTGTGTTTCTGATTTCCCACTTAATTTTGCCTGTATGTCTGGATACGGCCTAAAGGATGAGTCAGCAGTTCCTACAGAGTAAAGTACATGGCCTTGTGACAGCTTTCTTTGGATTGTTTTTGGGAATGTTCATTTGTCTTTTACTTTCAAGTTTGGTAATGCTGGGGTAGAAATTTATATTCCATAAAATACCGTTTGTTTTTCTTTCAAGTGCTGAGTATGCTGAAGCTTTTGTTTCCTACCTCAATGTCTTTTTCTTTAGGCGAGACGTCAGATGGAGTCAGTAAGTCAGTTCACAAGGTCTTTGCTTCCATGCTCGGAGAGAATGAAGATGAGGAGGAGGAGGAGGAGGAGGAAGAGGAGGAGGAGGAGGAGGAGGAGGCGGCGCCTGAGCAGCCCACTGCCGGCGACGTGTTTGTGCTGGAGATGGTGCTCAATCGTGAGACCAAGAAAATGATGAAAGTAGAGTGCGCCTTATCCTGGCGTTTACGAACAGGATGTAAAGTGTGGCTTAGAAAATTGAAAAAAAATCTTTATACATTTATGCTGAAAGAATTCAACTGTAAGAAAGGGAACACTATGAGATTGCTACTGTTGCTGATTTCTTATGTTTCATTTTTGGAGATTTTTAAATGTTAAACCTTAATTATTATAAATGTCAAAATTTACTTTAATTTTGCTGTTAAAAGGTTTATATTGTATCTTGATTTTTTTTTTTAAACCAAATTTATTCTGAGTAGATAAATTTGAAAGGAGAATCTTCAGTACATTGCATCATAAATCTCCTGGCATATAAATCCATTTTGCAGCATCCAATTCTGCATTTGGTCTAATTAGTAATTTAGTAATGCCTGACCAGTTTGATTTTTGCTTTGTTTAAATACTTTATTGTACTTTGAACTTGCTACTGTAGGAAAGTTTTGTTGGGTTGGGTTTGTTTTCTGTTTGAGTCTAAATGTCATTTTTGTTTTATAGGAGAAAAGACCTCGGAGTAAGCTTCCCAGAGCTCTGAGAGGTCTCATGGGTGAGGCCAACATTCGCTTTGCTCGAGGAGAACGTGAAGAGGCGATACTGATGTGCATGGAAATCATAAGACAAGGTGTTTAATGTGGGGATTATTGACAACAGCATTTTAAAAGTCTGACTTTTAAAACAAAGGGAGGAATACCTCACTGTGCTATTTAGAAAATATATTCAGGAGCTTGGAGGTGATTGTAATAGTGATATAACTACCCATTGAATAGGAATCATTGCCAAGAAAATGATAATCACAGAGTATGATTCAATGAAATATCATTAATATATATTGAACTCTTAACAGGCTTTTAAAAAATTTTGTTTTTGAACATTTCATTTTAGGAGTTTTATATGTTTATAATATGTCTTTTTAAAATATGGCAAACATGTTATTTTAAAGCCACTTTTCTTTTTCTACCATTTTCCAAATCAGACACTGTTAGATTATTTTAATCTACTTTTTGATAAAAGATAATATATACTTGTCATCTTTCTGTTAAACTGCAAAGCTCAGGCATATTGAAAGATACCTTTAGAAATCACTTTTTGACTAATCACCCATTTATTATTTTGTTTTCCTGGTGTGTTGTCAAGTGATGGCCTGCATAGTGGCTTGAGCAGTTTACTACAGTAAACTTTCAATTTATCTTTTCCATATTTTGGCATTTCCTTTCATTTAGTACAGGGTCCTTTTCAGTATTATCTGTTCTTTTATTAGTTTATAATTATTTATTTTGACAGTTACCTTTGATTTTAATCCCTTGTGTTCTTAGAACCTTAATTCAGAAACATTATTTCAGAAATGTGGATTAACCTTTCACTTTGATAATCTGGATTTAGGTGCTAGTTAAAGATATCTTCTCTCCATTAATCCCATACTCCTCAGGGTGGAAGCTGGATCATGATAATTTAACCCCGCTGATATGGCTGATGCTCATTGGGATGAACTTGCTGAATTAGTGAGCCATGTTTAGCCTTATCAAAGGGGACTTTTCATGAGGGGGACATGGTAGAGAGTAGGGTTTTTCATGAAATTACACTTTGCTTAGAGAAAAGAATAGTTTTTAAATCCTAAGAGTATATGAAAAATACACTAAAGCAAATACACTGTTTGCATAATTCTGTTCAAGTTACTTAAAAAAGCATAAATATTAAAGAAAGGATCCATAGTTTGAAACATGAAATTGATAGCGTCTTCCCTCAACCAATGGAATTTGTTTTTTTATTCTATTCATTATAGCTCCTTTGGCTTATGAGCCATTTTCTACTCTTGCTATGATATATGAGGACCAAGGTGACATGGAGAAATCATTGCAGTTTGAATTGATTGCTGCACATTTAAATCCCAGTGACACTGAAGAATGGGTTAGATTGGCAGAAATGTCCCTGGAACAAGACAATATTAAGCAGGCTATTTTTTGCTACACAAAAGGTAATAAAAATGTTTTTCTTGCTTTGTTTGATAAAATGTTATATAATAGATTTTCTGATCAAAGTACTTGCTATTCTGGGGTGCTCCTTAGTTGAAATATATTTATCCCTTGTATTCTGTTATACCAGACATAAGTATTTGGGCTCCCTGTATTTTCACATTTATCAGCAACTTTGTTTATATTTTGAGCTAATACAGTAAAACCATTGATTGAAGACCAGACCTTCGTTTTCCCGCCAAGATCAGTGTTGGTTCCAAGCTGTTTCTTGAGAGTTAATATTAGACTTCAGTGACCAAATGAAGGTTAATAGGGAGATTTTAGGCTTCTATTTGGTCAAGTCTAGTTTAGCATTCCTGTGAAGGTAGATTTAGTCTGGAATAAACCACTTGGGTCCATTAGGAAATTAGCTTAGAGTGTTTAATAGATTTTCTGAAAAGATGGGTCACACCCAGGTGCCATGAGCCCCCTATTATAATAAATCTGTAATTTATATTCCTTATTTTCTTTTTAGCACTTAAATATGAACCTACTAACGTCCGTTACCTGTGGGAGCGATCAAGCCTTTATGAACAGATGGGAGATCACAAAATGGCAATGGATGGTTACAGGCGTATTTTAAACCTTTTGTCTCCATCTGATGGAGAACGATTTATGCAATTGACTAGAGATATGGCAAAGTAAGTTTCAAGTTGAAATATATATAAATGTTCTTATTAATCATCTTGTTTTAGAAATCAAAAGATACATTTGAAGTGAATATACTTTTTTATTGAGGTTCAGGAAAGTGTTTTGTTTCCTGTATATTTATATTGTGCTTAAACATAGAGGTTTTTTCCCCCAGTACTTTTTTATATCCAAGTCGACTGTGTGATTGTTTAGAAAAATTTGTATTATATATTTGATTATCTTAATGTACCCAGAAGTTTCAAAATGGAACATGTTCTGAAGGATGACTAGATTCCCAGGTTTTCATAAATTATGTATGTATACAGTAATACTAAGTTATTGCAAATGTGCTAGTGAAATATTTATGCTCTGAGATCCTCAGTCATTTTATCTTGAGCCTGTACTAGAATGACTTTTTAAGATGAAGACTTTTCTTTAGGTTGGCACATGCTACCGACATTAGTCATTAATTTAGAGTTTAGTAGCATGGGCAGCTGGTGGGGAAGGCATGTTTGGATTAATCAGAGTTGGAGTTTTATCAGATGATCTTGGTAAAGGGAGAGGAGTGCAGGAGAATTGAGATGTGCAAGGGAGTAAGTGTGATATTGGATGACAGAGGAGGAGAAAAGTGAGGGCAGGAATGGTGCAGCCGCAGTACAAAGCGGTAGGGTCAGTGTTCTGCAGATCCCACTGAGGTAGAAAAGTTATTGGTATTGAGTCACAAAGGCAGTGAGCTAGAATGATATGAGGTAGCTTTGGGAAAGTGAGATGCTTGATGTTATGACATGGTTATACCGACAGTACACGTTTTTCTCTGGATCATCTCTGATCATGATTTTAAAAAAGAGTTTTCTCCTCCCAAATTTTAAGAAAACGGGATTCATAGTTAATAGAGGGCCTTTGTAGGAAAATGACTTTTATGATCTGCATTAATAAGCACTGATCAATTTTTGCCATTAATATTTTAGGAGTTACTATGAAGCCAATGATGTTACTTCAGCTATTAACATAATTGAAGAAGCTCTCTCAAAACACCAGGGCCTAGTCTCCATGGAAGATGTTAACATTGCAGCTGAACTATACATTTCTAATAAACAATATGACAGAGCTTTGGAGGTAGGAACTTTTATGTGTTTCTCTGTTAGGTTTTGAACATGCACCTTTTTTTGTTTTAGAAATTCTTACAAATTGACAATTGCTCATTTAATTTATATATATTATTTACTTAAGCTATACATTTAAAATTTGTATGAACACACTTAAGTTCTGTAATAATCCTGTATGAAATACAAAATGTAGTTACCATATTGTAAGAGCTGTTGCTGTTATCACAGATGCTAGGTACGTCTGTACTTCAGCATAGCAGGACTCTGCAGCAGACTAATGGTTGTGATTCATTTCCTAATCTTTTGGGAAAGTTAGATTGGTTTGATATAGAGAAATTATGTATTTTTAGTGAAGCATTAGTTAATATGATATAAAAATGTTAATGTATCACATTGGCTCCTTATTTTAAAGAGACATACTATTGCTTTTTATAGTTCATTATATCTTTTAAGGATTATTCAAATTAGCTGTACAAATCTTTGAATTGTGAAAAAGTTTTTCATATATACCTATTGTATTATTTCCTGCTCTCCCCCTCCCCCATACTTTTAGGTAATTACAGATTTTTCTGGAATTGTGCTGGAAAAAAGAACTACAGAAGAAGGCACTTCGGAAGAGAATAAAGGTTGTAGTTTCCTTTGCATAGGAGAGAGTGCATAATCCTCTTGTTCATAACATGGTATTTTGAAATTAGTAGTGTTTTCATAGCAAGTTTTCCCAAGAAGCGTTTTTTTCCTAACAGCGATTCCATATCTTTTTCTTGTGAGTATTCACTCACAGGTGATTTTTTTTTAACTTGGTTTTAGTCCTTTTTTTCCCCTCAGTACATCTGTTTGAACTTGGCATTTGTCATTGACACAGGGCCTTGATAGTGTTATGTGAAAAAAGAATGAATTATGGAGCAGCCTATCAGAAACCTTTCAAACTAAAGCAATTTACTTTTTAAAAAGGACTTAAAATGCTCTCTACTAATTTATTTCAAACTTATTAAAGATTGAAAAAATTCTGTTTCAAACTTAAGCATTCACTTAAAGTTCTCCTTTAAACTTAAGCACAATATTACATCATCCCTTTCTCAGCTTCTTTTGTAGTGAAGACTAAAAAGGGGCTCTTGGATTCAAGAAGAAAAAGAGAAAGTTCATATATCCTTATTTGTCACTTTTGTTTTTTAGTTTTTTGTCATTTTGATAGAAGGTGTGGGGGTTCATGTAGATTTTTGGCAAGTGGATGAAGTATTAGGGAAAGAATAGGAAGGGTAATTGCTAATCAAAAGACAGACCAAAGGGAATTTAAGAGCCTAGAACCAGAGTTGGCCAAACTCAGAACTGACTGTAGAATCATTTGCTTTGAGTGAAGTAAATGAGGTCTTACATAGAAGATACAGTTTGCTTCATTTGCTCCACTTTCTAAGATTATTAGGAACTTTTTGTTTGTCTGTCTAATGCACAGCTGGTGACAACGTTATCTGTGCTATACCTGATGGTGTGCCGATAGATATCACAGTGAAGCTGATGGTCTGCCTTGTACATCTCAACATTCTTGAACCACTTAATGTAAGTAGCATTAAGATTTGCACTTGAGATACTTTAGATCAAATCTATAATGTTTTTCTTTAGATAGCAGGAAATTATAAGTTGACCCTAGATTTCACATTTTTTAATAACCAGGAAGTCACAGTAAGCATCATATTATTTTTGCGAGAATGTCTTTTAAAAGCTAAGTGTTTGGAACTGGGCTTATAATGATTTGTTTTTCTTGAGAATAATCCAGAGATCAGAATGTGAGATTGGGCCTTTTAGACAGTCGGCAGTTTCTGACAGTTGTTCTCTTTTGCTGACTTCAGACTAAGTGTTTTATTACATAAAAAAATATTGGATATCTACTTTGTAGACCTTAGGATAAAGTGTTGTTTGATTTAATGGGATTAGATAATAAATACATAAAATATAGAATGCTAGTTGGTGATAAGTGCTCTGGAGAAAAACCAGAGAAGAATAGGAAATACTGGGGATGGAGGAGTTGCAGTTTTATTAAATTGGTGAAGAAAAGCCTCCCCTGAAAGTAACATTTGAATAATGATATGAAGGAAGTGAAGAAGTAAGCCAAGCAGGTAACAGAGGGAATGGCTTTCTGGGGAAACAGCAAACACAGAAGCCCTGAGACACGGGCTTGCTTGACTTGCCTGAGGGAGGGCACAGAAGATCAGTGTTGTCTAAGCTCCTGCAATGCCTGCCTTATAACACATCCTCAGAAGTAGTGTGTTGAATGAGTGAATGATGGCAGTATGAACACAGGAATGATTTAAGAAATGATCATGTAAAGCTGTTTTTGTTAAGCCTTGCTCCTTTTAGATTGACCTCAGATAACTGGTGTATATGTTAAAAAGAGAAACTCAAGTAGACGTGTTTATTTGTAATGAACGCTTGACTTCAGACTGTTACTTTTGGGTCTAGCCTCTGTTGACAACACTCGTGGAACAGAATCCTGAAGACATGGGAGACCTCTATCTTGATGTAGCTGAAGCGTTCCTGGATGTTGGTGAATATAATTCTGCACTTCCCCTCCTTAGTGCACTGGTCTGCTCTGAAAGATACAACCTCGCAGTGGTTTGGCTTCGGCATGCAGGTAATTCTTTTCTGTAGGAAGGGGAGGTTTTAATCACATAAGCAGACAAGAACTTAACTTCCCCAAGATGGTGATAGTTGTTGTAAAATGTTAATGTCTTAGTGAAAATATTTCTGGTTTCAGGGCAATTTTTTCAAAGTCAGTATTTTAAATTGTGTTGATTCACCACTACATGATTTTCCCTCACAAATGCATTGGGGAATGATTCACTTAATGGAACCTGAGTGAAACAGAAGGACTAACATGTACCGATTAAAAATACTGTAAATGCCTATATTTTACCTGTTTTAACCTTAGGCTCTGGTTTTTAGTAATAGATTGTCAGACTTAGAGTGCAATCTAATTTTTGAAGAGCGTTTAAGGATTTATATTTAATGTTATTTTGAGGGAAAAGTTAATATATTTTCAGTGTTTTTTGAACAAATCCAATCAAGATTGGGTTTTATCTGTCAATTTATTTCGCTGCATCTAAATCCAGAGTAATCTAAAATAAATTGTTTAGAGTGGGAAAAACAGCTTGAGAAAAACTACTAAATCTCTTCCAGAAATGTATGAAAGACAAAAATATTTTAGTAGGATTTCCTATTGATCAACATAAGAGATGCCTTGAAATTTGAATAGTCTCTGTTACAAATACTGTATAATGACAAAGTTTTAATATTTAAAATATTTTCAAGTACTGTATAGCATATATAGTACTATATATGCTATATATATATGCTATATAGTATATATATACTACATATATGAAGTACTATATAGCATATATACATATATATACAATATATGTATATACATGTATATATGTATATACATGTATGTATATATACAATAAAATATATTGAAGTACTATATACTACTTGAGAAAATATTTTGAAGTAGCAGAAAGTTCTCTAAATAGAGGAGCATTGATTAATATTTTGAGATATATCACAGATCAGTATTAGTTCAGTCGCTCAGTCGTGTCCAACTCTCTGCAACCCTATGAACCGCAGCACTCCAGGCCTCCCTGTCCATCACCAACTCCCGGAGTTCACCCAAGCCCATGTCCATCGAGTCGGTGATGCCATCCAGCCATCTCATCCTCTGTCATCCCATTCTCCTCCTGCTTCCAATCTTTCCCAGCATCAGGGTCTTTTCCAATGAGTCAGCTCTTCGCATCAGGTGGCCAAAGTATCGGAGTTTCAGCTTCAGCATCAGTCCTTCCAATGAACACCCAGGACTGATCTCCTTTAGGATGGACTGGTTGGATCTCCTTGCAGTCCAAAGGACTCTCAAGAATCTTCTCTAACACCACAGTTCAAAACCATCAATTCTTTGGCGCTCAGCTTTCTTTATAGTCCAACTCTCACATCCATCCATGACTAAAGGAAAAACCATAGCCTTGACTAAACGGACCTTTGTTGACAAAGTAATGTCTCTGCTTTTTAATATGCTGTCTAGGTTGGTCATAACTTTCCTTTCAATGAGTCTTTTAATTTCATGGCCGCAGTCACCATCTGTAGTGATTTTGGAGCCCAAAATAAAATCAGCCACTGTTTCCCCATCTATTTGTCATAAAGTGATGGGACCAGATGCTATGAGCTTATATTTCTGAATGTTGATCTTTCAGCCAACTTTTTCACTCTCCTCTTTCACTTTCATCAAGAGGCTCTTTAGTTCTTCTTCACTTTCTGCCATAAGGGTGGTGTCATCTGCATATCTGAGATTATTGATATTTCTCCTGGCAAACTTGATTCCAGCTTGTGCTTCTTCCAACCCAGCATTTCTCATGATGTACTCTGCATATAAGTTAAATAAGCAGGGTGACAATATACAGCCTTGACGTACTCCTTTTCCTATTGGGAACCAGTCTGTTGGTCCATGTCCAGTTCTAACTGTTGCTTCCTGACCTGCGTACAGGTTTCTCAAGAGGCAGGTCAGGCGGTCTGGTATTCCCATCTCTTGAAGAATTTTCCACAGTTTGTTGTGATCCACACAGTCAAAGGCTTTGGTGTAGTCAGTAAAGCAGAAGTAAATGTTTTTCTGGAACTCTCTTGCTTTTTTGATGATTCACCAGATGTTGGCAATTTGATCTCTGGTTCCTCTGCCTTTTCTAAATCCAGCTTGAATATCTGGAAGTTCACAGTTCACATATTGCCGAAGCCTGGCTTAGAGAATTTTGAGCATTTCTTTACTAGCATGTGAGATGAGTGTAATTGTGCTGTAGTTTGTGCATTCTTTGGCATTGCCTTTCTTTGGGATTGGGATGAAAACTGCCCTTATCCAGTCCTGTGGCCACTGCTGAGTTTCCAAATTTGCTGGCATATTGAGTGCAGCACTTTCACAGCATCATCTTTCAGGATTTGAAATAGCTCAACTGGAATTTCATCACCTCCACTAGCTTTGTTCTTAGTGATGCTTCCTAAGGCCCACTTGACTTCACATTCCTGGATGTCTGGCTCTAGGTGAGTGATCACACCATCGTGATTATCTTTTTAGGTGGTGAAGATCTTTTTTGTATAGTTCTTCTGTGTATTCTTCCCACCTCTTCTTAATATCTTTTGCTTCTGTGAGTTTCATACCATTACTGTCCTTTTTTGAGCCCATCTTTGTGTGAAATGTTCCCTTGGTGTCTCTAATTTTCTTGAAGAGATCTCTAGTCTTTCCCATTCTATTGTTTCCTTCTATTTCTTTGCACTGATCCCTGAGGAAGGCTTTCTTATCTCTCCTAGCTATTTGTTGGAACTCTGCATGCAGTTGGGTATATCTTTCCTTTTCTCCTTTGCTTTTCGTTTCTCTTCTTTTCACAGCTATCTGTAAGGCCTCCTCAGACAAACATTTTGCTTTTTTGCATTTCTTTTTCTTGGGGATGGTCTTGATCAATGTCTCCTGTACAGTGTCATGAAGACTGTCTATCAGATCAAGTCCCTTAAATCTCTTTCTCACTTCAACTGTATAATTATAAGGGATTTGATTTAGGTCATGCCTGAATGGTCTAGTCATTTTCCCTACTTTCTTCAGTTTAAGAAATTGAATTAAGAATTTGGCAGTAAGGAGTTCATGATCTGAGCCACAGTCAGCTCTTGGTCTTGTTTTTGCTGACTATATAGAGATTCTCCATCTTTGGCTGCAAAGAATATAATCAGTCTGATTTCAGTGTTAACCATCTGGTAATGTCCATGTGTAAAGTCTTCTCTTGTGTTGTTGAAAGAGGGTGTTTACTATGACCAGTGTGTTCTCTTGGCAGAACTCTGTTAGCCTTTGCCCTGCTTCATTCCGTACTCCAAGGCCAAATTTGCCTGTTACTCCAGGTGTTTCTTGACTTCCTGTTTTTGCATTCCAGTCCCCTATAATGAAAAGGACATCTTTTTTTGGTGTTAGTTCTAGAAGGTCTTGTAGGTCTTCACAGAACTGTTCAACTTCACCTTCTTCAGCGTTACTGGTTGGGGCATCGACTTGGATTACTGTGATATTGAATGGTTTGCCTTGGAAATAAACAGAGATCATTCTGTTGTTTTTGAGATTGCATCCAAGTACTGCATTTCGGACTCTTTTGTTGACTGTGATGGCTACTCCATTTCTTCTAAGGGATTCTTGCCCACAGTAATAGATATGACGGTCATCTGAGTTAAATTCACCCATTCCAGTCCAGTTTAGTTCGCTGATGCTAAAATGTCAACGTTCACTCTTGCCATCTCCTGTTTGACCACTTCCAATTTGCCTTGATTCATGGACCTAACATTCCAGGTTCCTATGCAGTTTTGCTCTTTACAGCATTGGACTTTACTTCCATCACCAGTCACATCCACAACTGGGTGTTGTTTTTGCTTTGGCTCCGTGTCTTCATTTGTTCTAGAGTTATTTCTCCACTGATCTCCAGTAGCATATTGGGCACTACCAACCTGGGGAGTTCCTCTTTCAGTGTCCTCTCTTTTTGCTTTTTCATAGTGTTCATGGGGTTCTCAAGGCAAGAATACCGAAGTGGTTTGCCATTCCCTTCTCCAGTGGACCATATCACAGATATGAAATAACAGAGTACTTAGTGGTTAAGATAACACTTTATTTGGATGACTGAATAGGAATACAGATGTAAAAGTTTACGTACATTAGTTTACATAAAAAGTTACATTATTTGTGGGTTTTGAATTTTATTTTATTTTTTTTATTTGTGGGTTTTGAATTTTAAAAGACATAAACAGGGAATTAAAATTTTTATTGCCTTCTGTACGGCTGTGGTTTTGAAACTGCTCTTGTTACTAGCAGTAGATGTTTTAAAATCCTCTTTAATTATAATCATGATACTGATAAATGCTTTTTCTATGTTGAACATATGTAGCTTTAGATGAATGGGAGGTAAAATCTCAGTATTGTCTAAAAATCATAAGGAAATTTGGAACAGTAGAAAAGAAACATCATTAGAGGAATTTAATGCTTATAGCATAATAATGAAGTATCTTTTAAAGTGACAAGTGAAAAATTATGAGAAATTCCATCCTGGTGATTCACCCGTATTTAGTAGTCTTCCTTCATTACCAGAGTTTAACCTGAAGATAGTGGTAAGGAGATATTTGAGAAATTTGAGATTTGAGAAAACACTAGGATGCAAAATACCTTCTTAGGAGATCAGTGCAGAAAGAAGGAAAGAGGTGGAAGGGCCTGTGTTTTTAAGTGCTGTGGCTGTTTGGGGGGGAAGAAGAAACGCTTACTGGGAATTCATCATCAAACTATAGGACTTCATGATTGATTGGCATAACGTATGAGGAATAGGGCCCAAGAACTTCACCTCTAAGGACTTACTCTGAGGAAGTAATTGAATGAGGTGAGGAGAGGTATTTTATATTGGAGATCACAAAACTCAGGAGCCTGGCAAGTAACAGTGAGTGAAGTAGGTGATGAGTGAGAGGCCCAGGCAGGTTGGGAACTGGAGAGCCCCGTCTAAAGGGTGCCGCTGTTTCTCGGCATGGCTGATGAAGCATGTGGGTATGAAGGGACTCAGCTGTTGCCAAACCCAGATTTCCCGAAAGCACGCAGTGACTTGGATTTCATAAAAAATCCCACCTTTTAAAGATGTAGACAGTTTACTGTTTCTACCAGTACTGTGGCCCAGCAAAGCATATCTGTGGTTTACATTGGCCTCCCACTTTGTGAACTCCGGCTTATATACATGCTGTGTACTGTGGAGTTATTTATTAGAGTGAAAATTGAGGAGTAACCTAAATGTCAAGTAGTATGGTTAAGTAACTAATAAATTTAATTGAATATTGTGACCAGTCAGAATGCCAGTGAAGGCATGGGGAAATGTTGAAAGCATAATATAAGTTAATAAAGCAGAACACCAAATTGTGTATTTATATATTGATCACATATTTATAGTATAGAGATTGGAAGGGATAGTTGTTTTAAAATACAGAAATATGCACTAATCTCTTTCTTGTTATAATTTTTATATTGCTGTAACATTTCTTTTAAAATGGAGAAATAATTTTGGCCCTCTTACATGTCTTCATTTTAACATCGTTTTAGAATGCTTAAAGGCCTTAGGCTATATGGAGCGTGCTGCCGAAAGCTATAGCAAAGTGGTTGATCTGGCCCCCCTTCATTTGGATGCAAGAATTTCACTTTCCACCCTTCAGCAGCAGTTGGGTCGTCCCGAGAAAGCTCTGGAAGCCCTGGAACCAATGTATGATCCAGATACATTAGCACAAGATGCAAACGCAGCGCAGCAGGTAGGCCATGCGATGTGGAAGCTATTCTTGGTGGGCTATATTTTAGAACTTTTCTTATATTTTAGAGACTTTAAGGATGTCTCTCCAGCTTATATCCAAGTTTAAGTCAGTGTATTACATTCAGTGTTTTTGAAAAATGATTTTGAATCTTAAGTTACAACATCATAATTATTAATGTAATTTATAGTTATTAAAATGTTGAGTTTTAATTATTGTGGGAGATCACAAAGCAGATGTTCTTAAGGTTTAGTTTCTAAGAGATAGTTTTTCTATGCAAGCAAAACAACTTGAAACAAAGGGATCTTGTCACATTATCCTGTGCTTATTTCCTTAGGAACTGAAGTTACTGCTTCAACGTTCTACTCTGTTGTTTTCACAAGGCAAAATGTATGGTTATGTGGATACCTTGCTTACCATGTTAGCCATGCTTTTAAAGGTAGGTAGTGATCTGTCTTTATATTAGCCTTGTTGCCTTTTTAAATGTTTAGAATTTTGTTTAAACATAGATCATAATTATTTTGTAACTCCCTTTTACTCTTAAACTTTTTAAAGTGAAAGTCAGATAAAAGGCAGACAACCTAGAGATTAATGTGTGTAATTGAAAGTCTACATGAAGGCATAAACTTGACTACAGATTGTAAAATAAAATCTTTGCTAGTGCATATTTAGAAAAATGAGGACCATCATGGTGTCTGTTATTGGCCCTGTGGACACTACGGTGTGCCAATATTGTTTCCTTTGCAGAGATGTTTTCTGGGTATGACATCCGTTCTGAGTCTGGCTTTTTACAGGGAGATAGTTAACTTTCTGTGTGTGTGTGAGATAAATATAATGTGAATGGCTTTCTTTTTCCTTACTAAGGTGGGTAGTGTGACTTGGACTCCCTTATTAAGGAAAAAATAAGTCTATACATGCTCTTTTAGGTGTTCATATACATGATAACTGGTGTTTTATTCCCCTTACTAAAGAAGCTTTCAGATACATCTGTGATACTTGTTTCCCATAGATTTTCTTTAAAAAAATTATGGACTAAAAAGGCTTCCCCAGTGGCTCAGTGGTAGAGAACCCATCTGCAGTGCAGGAACCACAGGAGACCTGGGTTCAATCCCTGGATTGAAGATCCCTTGGAGGAGGGCATGGCAACCCACTCCAGTATTCTTGCCTGGAGAATCCCTATGGGCAGAGGAGCCTGGCGGGCTACAGTCCATTGGGTCGCAAAGAGTTGCACACAACTGAAGCAACTTAGCATACATGTACATGACTGAAAATTTTCAATTATCTTTAATTCAGGTAGCAATGAATAGAGCCCAAGTCTGTTTGATATCCAGTTCCAAATCTGGAGAGAGGCATCTCTACCTTATTAAAGTGTCAAGAGACAAAATATCAGACAACAATGACCAAGAGTCAGCAAATTGTGATGCAAAAGGTAATTACTTTTTTTTTTTGTAATTACTTTCACTTGCTTTATTGTGTAAAACTATGTTGACTTGGGAGAAAAAAAACTCAAGAAGTAGCACGTGACAGTAATTTATTGAAAATTATATTTTCTAGTCTAGATCCCTTAGGAAAAGTAAACTTATTTGGTGTTTTCAAAAAAGAAAGATTATATGTAGATACTTGAGTGTAAGAAAATTAAAAAGCAGATGTCTACTTAGATCCTTCTGTGAAAAAGCTAAAACAATCTTCTGATTTTGACTTTTTAAGAATAAACCATACCCTATTTTAAGAATTTGTGATAATTAGATAATACAGAGTGCTTTATTTGTCTGGTTACTTCAGCTGCATATGTTAAACTCTTCTTTGATAAGTGAATTTGTCTCTGTTAAATTCATTTTTGACAAATGTAACAACAGTCATAGAAATTCTGCAAATAAATTGCTTTGGCCCAATCTCAAATATGCAACTTTAAAACCATCTATTTTTAGCTGGAAAAGGATCAAAGATGTTGGGTGACATTATTACTCAAGAGAACTTTGGAAAAGACCTAGTCTATAAACTAGAGTTACCAGTCTGGCAGAAAGTTATTTCATTGTTAAACATGTCCACAGATATTAATTAAACCGTTATTACTGACATGGCAGTGTGCAATGGACAAGGTTTTAGAATCCAGATAAGCTGAATCTGTTAAGACAATATAAGGACATAAGCAAGATGTTGTGGGGGAAGAGAGTCAGAGGATAGGAATGTGGGTTCAGATGCTCATAATATAGCCTTAGAGCCTGCCATCTCTTAAGTTCATTGATTCTGGGCTTAACCCAGTGGCTTCTGCCTCTGCCCACATTAGTTTGGACTATGTTTCCTCAAGTTATATTTTTCTCTATCTGATCCCGCCTGTTTGCTCTTCCACTGTTTCCTCATTTCAGGGTCATTGTTGGTTTTTCTTAAGCTCATAAGGTCTTTGTTTTGTTATTAATAGTTTCATCAGGGTCATTGTTGGTTTTTCTTAAGCTCATAAGGTCTTTGTTTTGTTATTAATAGTTTCATCATGATGAGGATCACATTATACTAGTGCATCATGGTAGGATTATCTCGGGCACTTTATGTGACATGTATCTTTGTACTGGGGCTTCCAAGGTGGATCACTGGTAAAGAACCCGCCTGCCAGTGCAGGAGATGCAGGAGATGTGAGTTCGATCCCTGGGTCAGGAAGATCCCCTGGAGAAAGAAATGGCAACCCATTCCAGTATTCTTGTCTGGAAAATTTCATGAACAGGGAAGCCTAGTGGGCTACAGTTCATGGGGTTTGCACAAGAATCAGACATGACTGAGCATACACATACATCTCTGTACTAATTTTTCACTCAATATTTTCTCATGCTCTAGTCTCTTTGTAGCTGTTATATTTAAGGAATGTGTCATATTCCATTGGAGAGTGGTTTTATAATTTATTTAATCATTCCCTTCTTTTTTAAATTATCACATGGCTGCTTTTGATAACTTTCTTTTCTAAGTAATATCACTGTTGTTGTTCAGTCACTCAGTCGTGTCTGACTCTGCAGCTCCATAGCCTGCAGCACGTCAGGCCTCTCTGTCGTTCACTGTCTCCTGGAGTTTGCTCAAACTCTTGTCCATTGAGTCAACAATGCCATCCAACTAAGTAATACCATAGTAGTCATCTTTATGCTTATAGATTTATCTGTATTTCTGAGTAGTTGTTTAGGATAGATTCTCAGAAAGAGAATTACTGAATTGGAGGTGGTAAAAAAAAATTTATGACATTTGGTATTTCTCATGGGATGTAAAAGGAAGACTTCTTATAGACAAACAAGGAAGAGAAGATTAAGTTTGAATTTGAAATCCTTTTAGTAAACATTTGAATGCCTTGTATGTGCACACTCCCATATCTGACCTCAGTCATGGAAAGCACCCTTGCTCTGCCCTGAAGGTGCATATATCCAAGCTAGCACTGAAAAACACAAATAATGTAGCTGGACTTGACCAAGGATGAATCAGAAGAGGATTACCTTGGACTGCAGATTGTTTGTTAGGTAGAGCAGGGGGAGTCATGCTGAGGGAGTAAAAGGAAGCAGCTCCCTCTTCATCATTGTCAGAAGAATGCTGGCAAGAATTCGGTCCTATAGGGCCATGGTTATTCAACTTAATTTAACTTTAGATTAGATCATGTTAATTTTCTTTCTGATGCTGCTACTTCTGGAAATATAGTATCCTAACTGATCTTCATTGGTCTCATTTTAGCAATATTTGCTGTACTCACGAGTGTCTTGACAAAAGATGACTGGTGGAACCTCCTTTTGAAGGCCATATACTCCTTATGTGATCTATCCCGGTTCCAGGAGGCTGAGTTACTTGTAGATTCTTCATTGGAATACTGCTCATTTTATGAAGACAAGCCAAAACGCAAAGAGCTAGAATATTTTGGTCTCTCTGCTGCAATTCTGGACAAAAATTTCAGAAAGGCATACAACTATATCAGGTGATTTTCCAATAACCTATTTTAATTAGATTCTTTGATGGAGCATATATATTTACTTTGACTTAATTTTACATGCTCAAGATTTAGTAAGCTGTTTAACTCTTGCTTACAGATTAATTCGGTTCATTGGTGGGTCTTGGAAGCAGTATAAAAGAGCATACACTTACATAAGAGGTTTACTTAAACTTTTGTGCCTCAGTCTCCCCATTTTTTATGGTAAAACAGGCATCATAATATTACCACCTCATAGGTTATTGTTAAGTGAGTTGTCCAGTGTCTGATAATGCATTATTATTCAGTGTTCATTGTACTGCAGCTATGAGTGGGCTGGGAGAGAAAAGATAAAATTTAATCCTCTTGATTCTTTTTTTGGTTTAAAAGTTTGTTGAAAAGCAGAAACAAGATGAAGAAACACTACATACCCCTTATTGGGGGTGGTGAATTTCATTGTTGATGGGACAGCACTGAAGGGTTTCAGTCTTAAAAATCAAGAAGTTTTTTCTCTGTACGCTATTTTTTACCCTCATTCTCTTTTTGCAATTTTAGAATAATGGTAATGGAAAATGTCAATAAACCCCAGCTCTGGAACATTTTCAATCAAGTTACCATGCATTCCCAGGAAGTACGACATCATCGCTTTTGTCTGCGTTTAATGCTGAAAAACCCAGATAATCATGCCCTGTGTGTCTTAAACGGACACAATGCCTTCGTGTCTGGTAGTTTTAAGCATGCACTTGGTGAGTGTCCTGGTGCATGGCTTTGTCTCTCTCTCTCTCTCTGCTTAGGTTTCTGTAACTCTGAAATGGAGATAACCTTGTAGATTATTGTGAAAATTAAATGAGTTAATATAAAGTACTTAAAATAATGTCTAGTACATATAGTTAGTGGTTTTAAGTATTCACAATAATTATAATAAATATTTATTTTTCTTGTGATGCTTTTGTTTCAAAAGGCTCAACTAAGTCTTTAAAGTAGGTCTTTGAAGTGGACTTTAAAGCGTGACTTAGGCTTGTTTGTTCTCAAAATAATTTTCATTAGTTATGGATGCTTTGCTCAATGATTTTAATTTGCTATAGTATAAAAAGGGACTTAAGATTTTTTGATAGTTTATTCCTTTAGGAGACAAGTCTTTTTTTTCTTTGCCTTGATTTATTTTTTTACATATACATATATCTGTTCTTTTTCAAATTCTTTGCCCATTTAGGTTATTATAGAATACTGAGTAGAGTTCCCTGTGCTATACAGTAGGTCCCTGTTGGTTATCTGTTTCAGGTAGAGTAGTGTGTATGCCAATCCCAAACTCATGATTTATCCCCCACCACCACCACCTTTCTGCCTTGGTAACCATGTTTGCTTTTAGAGTCTGAGAGTCTGTTTCCTAAATACATTCATTTGTATCCATTTTTTGGGGGGCGGAGGGGGGGATTCTGCATGTAAGTGATATCATATGGCATTTATCTTTGTCTGACTTACCTTGCTTAGTATGATAATCTCTAGGCCCACCCATGTTGCGGCAAATGGCATTATTTCACTCTTTTAATGGCCGAGTAATCTTCCATTGTATATATGTACCAGATCTTTTTTATCCATTCATCTGTCAGTGGACATTTAAGTTGCTACCATGTCTTGGCTATGTGAGTGTGTATGTACCTTTTCAAACCGTGATTTTCTCTGGATATATGCCCAGGAGTGGGATTGCTGGATCATATGGTAGTTCTATTCTTAGTTTTTTTAAGGAAACTCCATACTGTTCTCCATAGTGGCTGAACAAATTTAATTCCTACCAACAGTGAAGGGGAGTTCCCTTTTTTCCACAGCATCTTCAGCATTTATTGTTTGTAGACTCTTTGATGATGGCCATTCTGACTAGTGTGAAACAGTCTTTATAATTCTTATTAATAATTAAATAGAGGGAAAATTCATTAACCATTTATAGGAAATTTCTGTAATAAGGAACCAGGAGCAAGCAAGTAGAAAAATACTTAACCAGAAGTTTAAACTTAAAATGAGGCATGTATCTCCTGCTGCTGGCAATAAGATATATTGCCAGATTCACTTCTGAGTATACTGTGATTTTGGCTGTTTAATGCTTTAATGTTTCTTGTGTATGGTTGCTGTTTTTATAGTTGTTCAGCCAATAATCTCGAACATCAGATGTTGAAGCTTTTTTTCACTGTGTATTCTTTTTTGAAATTATTAGTTTAATATTAAGAAAACTATATATAAAAGAGATTAAAATAGAAAGTCTAAATGGCAGTCTACCATTTGTGCTGGTAAGGAGACTTTACAGTGCTGTTCCTTCTGGAATAGAAGTTTTCTTATCTATATAATAAATTATAGATCATTCCTTTACAAGAAAAATTTGCTAAAATTCCTCTATCTCATATAGTTAGACTTTTGACATAATTGTTTATATAGACTACATGGAATTCATAAAACCCTGAATTTTTATCTTGTTATTAGATACACTTAGCTCTTCTCAGGAAAAACAATTGCTACGTTTGAGACAATAATACTCATAAACCTAAAAAACAAAACTATTTTTCTTTTTCTCACCTCCATGATCCATCACATTAGCATCTATAAGACAGGTCTCAGTTAGTTTTATGAAAGAATTCACCAACAGACACATTCCCCCATTAGTTTTTTAAAAGACTTGAGGTTGTAAAATAGATTTATGATCAGTTATTCAATTGTTTGTTTTCGAAGTACTACTCTACTTGGAAATGTCTAACTCTACCTTTAAAAAAGCTACTTTTGTACTCAGTTTTAATCATCATGGTCAAAATATGTTGATGGGTAAATCCTTTTCTTTTTGTTATATGTTATATATTTTAAAATTCCTATTAATATGCATCTGGTTGATATTTTGGAATATAGCCTTTGTATCTGTTAAAGTGATAGCAATATTTATTTACCTTAAACTATATTTGAGGAAGTGTTGAAGAAATAAGGAATTGTGTTTTTGTCCTGTCATCTAACATCACTGCTCATTTTTCAGGACAGTATGTGCAGGCCTTTCGCACCCATCCCCAGGAGCCACTCTATAACCTCTGTATAGGCCTAACCTTTATTCACATGGCATCCCAGAAGTATGTATTAAAGAGACATGCTCTTATTGTGCAGGTAATTCATTTGGATTTCTCATTACTTGATTTTATGTTCTTTAAAGATGAATATACTTAATGCTTTTATTACCCTGCTTCAAAAGTAGTACCTGCTTAGTGCACCTGTTGGGAGTATCCACTCCTGTGTTCAGCACTCATGGATCAACATATAGGAGTACTCCCGGCCAAAACTACACAGCTATGTGGAAAGGGTGCACAGCCAGGTCAGAAGAGAAGGCTCAGGCAGAATGTTAGGGAATCCTGTGCAGGCTTTCTTGTATTCTGGAGCCTCAGAGGCTTCCAGTCTTCCAGGTCCTAAGAATTTTTAAATTAGTTTTTAAAAATAATATAGACATACGATAATGTGTAGATATGTGCCTGTGTGACTGTCTCCTTACGTCATGACCACAAATTCCTTTTTTAAAGTCTTAGTTTGTAAAGCAGTTTGCATTACCTTTTGTTTTCTTGTTTACCTTCTTAACATAGCTCATCTCCTCTAGTGAAAATATAAACTCCAAGAGATCGGAGATCTGGTCTATCTTGTTCACCCCTGTATCCTCAACACTTCTGCTTTATTTCAGTTTTTACGTTTGATGCATGTATATACCTGTTTTTTAAGTAATCAGGGAAAGAAAGTAAATGTTCTTTGTTAGATTTTTGTCTTTGAGTTTTTCAATTTTAAACATATAGATTTGATTCTTCTGAGAGTAATAGCTTGTCTGCTATTACTTAAGAGAACCACATTTTTCAGTAGAAGTCATATTCATGTACTCAAATGGATTCATTTATCATACAGAAAATATGACTTGTTAATTGAGCATACTTTTTATTCCTAGAATGCATTAATTCTAACAAATTCCTTAACTTTTATTATTTATTAGTTTATGAAGAAAAATTTGTGACCATTTATTACATACCAGATCACCCAGGAAATAATTGCATTTTATTTTTTATACATACAAATTTGTTGATTTAATTCTCAGGTAATATATTTGCTTAATTGCTTACATCAGTTACTTGCATCTTGCAGTTTGTAGCTTTCTGTGCATGGTAGAAGCTGAAGTTGCATTGAAGGGGAAAGTGAATGCAGGAAGAAGTGACGAAGCAGGTTGCTTTTCTGGGTGCTGTGGCACCCAGGGAGCATGCTTCATTATAGCTGTGCTCTGAGATAGTCAGTTTCTCCATAGAGCTGCTGAGTCAGAAGCTTTCAGAGGGGAAAAAGAAAATCAGGTTTTTTAACGTTAAGGAGTTATTAAGGTTCTGAGAGGTATATGAAAGGTACCATTTAACCAGCAAGGTCAGATATACTCAAGTGAGTTTGTTCCTGAGGATGCACGTTTCTAAATTATCATAAGAGCTTGGAGTTTATATTTTGGTCAAGCTTTTAGACATGTATCTCAAACCTAAAATTTTACTAGCCTCTAATGCCACAAAAACCAACTTGAAACCATAAAAATATATATTCTCTGTTTTAGATTATGAGTCTTTGATAGCTAGTTATAACATTTGGCTTTGTTTTCTGTGAATTTTTTGCCTTTAGTTAAAAAAATATATCTCCTTTACACCTTCAGAAGAAATCTGAACTATATTATGATATGACACTGTACCACAGACATATACCTTTTAGGGTGAGACTGTCTTTAAAAAAAAAATTGGGGGACTTCCCTGGTCGTCCATTGATTAAGGCTCCACACTTCTAATGTAGTGGATGTGGATTCAGTCCCTGATTGGGGAACTAAGATCCCGCATGCTGCACAGGGTAGCCAAAAACAGAAGATTGTATTCCTGCCCCTGCACATGCTTGTCAAATGCCTGAACTACTGAATTATTATTATTATCTTTTCTCTTTGGTAGGGCTTTTCCTTTCTTAATCGATACCTCAGTTTACGTGGGCCTTGCCAGGAGACATTCTACAACTTGGGCCGTGCCCTTCACCAACTGGGGCTGCATCATCTTGCAATCCACTATTATCAGAAGGCCCTGGAGCTCCCTCCGCTTGTGGTAGAGGTACTGTATGATTTACTTTAAAAAACTGAGGAGACATTTCATCTATCGATAAGTTCAGTTAGCTCAGTATTGTGGTCCAGACAGTGAAATTAATTAGCTTATATATTAAAATGTATTCTCCCCTTACTGAATGCACTTATTTAGTTATGTTCAGCAACAAGTAATTGTTTGACATCCTGGCCTACTGACCTAATCAGCCACCATGTAGACACATACGACTCGAGGTTATGACCATTTCGGTTATCCTAAGATAGCCCTGTGGTTTACAGGTGTGAGCTGGTAGACAGGAATCCTGAGTATTGAGTTCTGTAGCCGTTATTCATTTTCAAGTTCAAAAGTGTAGCTAACACACTTCTTTATAGAGATTAAAGATCAGTATAAATGAAGTTTTGTTTAAGTTAATGTAATATAGGGTGAGTGTTGCCAATACTATGATAATCTGTGTTTAAAGCCTAATTTCTGAAGGAAAGTATGTTATCATTGTTTAGTTTTAAAAGTTGCACTCATAGTCCCCCATTCCCTCACAACTCTTTTCTATTACCCTTGTTCAACTTTAGTCATTAAGCAAATGAATACCTACTCTTACAGTTATGCTGATGAAATACATATACTTTTGTGTTCTTAACTTCATAAATAATTTATGTATTGCTCCTTAAGCTTTATAGGGCAACATTTTCATTGATGCAGATGTTCTTAGTTGACTCCAAATTTTTGTTTGGGGAAGAATAGGAACATAGATCTAATCTACTCCATTGAGGTCATTGCTTGGGTTATTTAAGTAGAAAAAAAAAGTAATAACATCCATAAGGTATTCATTATAATAAATTTGGTGTATGCCCTCCTAGACCTATGTTTTATATAACTTCCTGTTATATAGTATATTTTTTTTCTCATCTGTTCATTTGTGTTATGATTTTTTTCCTACATGCAGAAGTTTTACATTTTTTATGAAGTCATGTCAGTCTTTCTCTAGTTCCTACTTTTGCTATTTATTATACTTAAAAGGGCTTTTCCTACCAAGGTTATATTATTATTCAACTGTATTTTTTCTTTTATGGTTTCATTTTTTTTACTCTGAAATCCTAATTCGTCTGGTGTTTATTCTGCTATGTCTTGTGGATGAAACTTTTTTCCTTTAACTTATTGGTTAGAGATTTTAAAATATTTGATGAAACAGTTACTATAACAATTGACTGAAATCAGCATTACCTGATAAAAATGTATATTCAAGGTATATGCCTAGTTTTATAATTTATTTTAGTAATATGAATTTTAATAGTTTTTTGAACACTTACAAAAGCTCTTTATTTGCCATAAAATTGTCCTGGTTGTCAGTTTGAAATACACTCATTTTTGTATTTTCCCCCTAGGGTATAGAAATTGACCAGATAGACTTACGAAGAGATATTGCCTACAACTTGTCTCTCATATATCAGAACAGCGGGAATACTGGAATGGCTCAGAAACTTTTATTTACTTACTGTTCTATATAATGCCCCGCCACTGGGAAGGAGCTTGGGCAGCCGCTGTGCACGGACCAGCATTTTCTGTCTCAGGGCTTATTATTAACCCCAAGATGGACATAACTTCACAATTATCTGTGTTTCATTTTTAATATGTGATAATTATCTTTTGATAGATTTGCAAAATTATCACTCCTACAAGAATTTTATACTGTTCTGTCATTTTCCTTTACCAGCTTTTGGTAAGTTGTCCCCCAAACTGAAGTGGACATTGTTAGCCATTGAACCAGCATGGAGTTGAATACACTACTTTTTTTCCACACAATTTATTCATTTGTGTACATAATACTACATATTAAACACCTGCCGTATACCAGGCACTGTAATAGATGTGTTTGGAATACAGTAGTAAGAGAGATGTTACCTCTCAATACAGTTCTTTAAATACAGACCTTGAGCATATGTTTATTTGAAAGAAATATTTGCTACGTATGTATTTCTACATACATCATTGTTGTCAGTCATCCGTTTCTTAGTGCCCTGTTCTTATCGCCAGTAGTCTTTGAGATATACAGAAAAGGAGGTTGCTTAGTAAAGTAAAGACAAATTGGGACTCTGATGTCAGCACAATTATGTAATTCACTTTGCTCCTTGGAAAACTATTTTAAATGGTTATGTGGTGGGAAGACAAGTAACTGAGCTAATCTTTTATTTTTCACCTGCATGTATCTTAGCTATAAAGACAGGCCTGGGAGGCTGGGCTTAATTCATAGAAACCTGTTGTGATGCAAATTAATTAAAAAAATGCATTCTCAGTGTTGGGCTTTCTGGCCAAAAGAAAAAAAGAGAACTAGATTCAGTGACATGACCTGGTTTCCATATTAAGATCACTAGGAATGTAGGAAGATTAGGGAATTTTATGTATGAAATGAAGTATTGCTGATGAAGTAGAAGGAGATTAAAAGCCTTTTACTTATCTTAGATATTGTGTATTATTGGATCTAAGATAATAGTATTTGTTAGACATACTGTTGGTTTAATAATAGCTTTTTAGAGTTTCTTTTTAGGGAGAAACAAATGCTGTAGTAAATGTTCATGTGGATTTTAAGTCCCAGTCCAATTGTGGGTGGAAAACAAGTATGAGACTTAGGATGAAAGAAGTACAGGAGGCTTTAAGAATTCTTACACTATTTACACTGTATACATAATTTTGTAGTTGAGAAGCAGAATTTGTATGTAATAAGTAAATGTATGGTACTCTCTCTGTGTGTGTATGTGTATATATAGAATTTAAATTTTATTTTTGTAATTAAAGTTGTTTCATATGTTTATATATATTTGTTTTATTTCATGCCATTTGCAGGTAATGATAAAGCTGACTGTGATAGAGTGCTCAGATAGATTTGTGACTTGGAATCCTTGTGGAGTTGAGTACTCTGTGTTCAGAGTTTCTCTCTTGAATTAAACTCACTGTGCTGTAACTCCAGTATCTGCTAAATAGCCTTGGAAGACACAGTAAATCTCTCTAGTAGTCATATAAGGGGAAAAAAAGCTGATAATTGTATGAGTTTGTTTATCATTTAAGACCGTAACTACCATTTGCTGAGTGTTTTCACTCTGCTGCTGTGTTCTAAGTGTGGTGCAGGATATTTTAGATACCTTAACTCTGATTCTCCCAGCGAATCACCTGTAAGGTAGATGTTATTGTTGTAGTTATTATCATCCCAGTTTTATTTATGAGAGATTAAAGAGCATGCTGAAGATCACTAGCAAGCTACTCCTTGCTCAGAGATGTTCCTTTAGAGGAGTGCATTTCCTGCAGTTCTGAGTAACAACTTAAAAAATGAGCATGTTTACTTTAGAAAGAAAAAGGAGACGGGCAGTTAATTTTTCTATCCTTCAGGCCTTCTATTTTTTTAATTAAAAAAAGTTTTTGTTTTCTTTTTTTTTAATTTAGTATTTATTTATAATGTTGTGTTTTTGTCAGGTGTATAGAAAAGTGATTCAGTTACACATATATTCATTCTTCTTCAGATTCTTTTCCCAATAGGTTATTACAGAATATGTATTAGTTTCCCGTATCATACAGTAGGTCCTTGTTGACTGTCTGTCTTTTTTTTTTTTTTTTTTTTTTGACTGTCTGTCTTATATATTGTTCAGTTGCCAAGTCGTGTCCAACTCTTCATAACCCCGTGATTGCAGCATGCCAGGCCACACTGTTCCTCCGGAGTGTGCCTGAGTTCCTGTCCATTGAGTCGGTGATGCTATCCAACCTCATCCTCTGCTGCCCTTTCTGCTCCTTTTGCCTTCAGTCTTAACCAGCATCAAGGTCTTTTCCAATGAGTCGGTTCTTTGCATCAGGTGGCCAGAGTATTGGAGCTTCAACTTGGGCATTAGTCCTTCCAGTGAGTATTCAGGATTGATTTCCTTTTAGGATTGACTGGTTGGATCTCCTTGCAGTCCAAGGGACTCTCAAGAGTATTCTCCCGCACCATTATTCAAAGCATCAACTCCGGCGCTCACCCTTCTTTATGGTTCAGCTCTCATATCCATACATGACTACTGGAAAAACCATAGCTTTGACTAGATGGACCTTTGTCAGCATAGTGATGTCTTTGCTTTTTAATATGCTGGCTAGGTTTGTCATAGCTTTCCTTCCAAAAAGCAAGTGTCTTCTAATTTCATGACTACAGTCACCATCTGCAATGATTTTGGAGCCCAAGAAGAGAAAATCTGTCACTGCTTCTACTTTTTCCCCTTCAAATTGCCATAAAACGATGAGACCAGATGCTGTGATCTTAGTGTTTTAATATTGAGTTTCAAACCAGCTTTTTCACTCTTTTCTTTCACCCTCATCACGAAGCTCTTTAATTCCTCTTCACTTTGCCATTAGAGTGTTACCATCTGCATATCTGGGGTTGCTGATCTTTCTCCTGGCAATCTTGATTCCAGCTTGTAATTCATCCAGCCTGGCATTTCGCATGATGTACTCTGCATATAAATTAAATAAACGGGTGACAATATATAGCCTTGTACTCCTTTCCCAGTTTTGAACCAATCAGTTGTTCCATGTCTGGTACTAACTTGTTTCTTGACCCACATACAGGTTTCTCAGGAGACAAGTAAGATGGTCTTGGGTTCTCATCTCTCTAAGAATTTTCCACAGTTTGTTGTGATCCACACAGTCAAAGGCTTTTACATAGTCAATGAAGCAGAAGCAGATGTTTTTCTGGAATTCCCTTGTTTTCTTTGTGACTCAGCCAATTTTGCCAATTTGATCTCTGGTTCCTCTGCCTTTTCTAAACCCAGCTTGTACATTTGGAAGTTCTCGATTCAAATATTGCTGAAGTCTAGCTTGAAGGATTTTGAACATTACCTTTCTAGCATGGGAATTGAGCGTAATTGTCTGGTAGTTTGAACGTCCTTTGGCATAGCCCGTCTTTGGAATTGGAATGAAAACTGCCCTTTTCCAGTCCTGTGGCCACTGCTGAGTTTTCCAAATTTGCTGGCATATTGAGTGCAGCACTTTCATAGCATCATCTTTTAAGATTTGAAATAGCTCAATTGGAATGCCATCACCTCCACTAGCTTTGTTCGTAGTGATGCCTCCTAAGGCCCACTTGACTTCACATTCCAGGATATTTGGCTTTAGATGAGTGATCACACCATCGTGGTTATCTGGGTCATGAAGATCTTTCTTGTATAGTTCTGTGTATTTTTGCCATCTCTTCTTAATAGCTCCTGCTTCTGTTAGGTACATACTGATTCTTTTATTGTGCCCATCTTTGCATGAACTATTCCCTTGGTATCTCTAATTTTCTTGAAGAGATCTCTGGTCTTTCCCATTTTGTTGTTTTCCCCTATTTCTTTGCCCTGATCACTGAGGAAGCCTTTCTTATCTCTCTTTGCTAGTCTTTGGAACTCTGCATTCAGATGCTTATATCTTTCTTTTCTTCTTTGCCTTTTGTTTCTCTTTTCTCAGCTCTTTGTAAGATCTCAGACAACCATTTGCCTTTTTTGCATTTCTTTTTCTTGGGATAGTTTTGATCACCATCTCCTGTACAATTTTACGAACCTCTGTCCATAATTCTCCAGGCATAAGAATTAACAGGTGAGGTGGGGCTAAAAACTGGTGAAGCAGTTGTAAATCTGTTCAGAAGCTGTTAGATTTTCCTAGTTGCCATGTTCACCTAGAGTAGGTTCCACTTCACCTGTGCCCTGCAGAACACCAGTGGTTTATTTTCTGGAACTGTTGAATAGGATCATGGATTCCAGAATACCAGGCATAGCCAAGGGCAGAATGTTACACTGAAAGCAGGGGATTAAATGAAAGTCTACACACCTAACAGTGATCTCAGCATCCTCCTATTAAACTCCCAGAAAACTGGCAACAAAGTTAACATCCTCTAAGCAGGGGATTAGAGAAAATCCTCTCAAAAATCCTAGGAAAAAAAGCCTGTATATTCTCTCAGCTGTGGCCTCCAGCAGTGGACACACTCCTCCCACTTTCACTGAGCCCCAGTCATCTGGGAGGTACCTTGCTATTCATCTGAACAGGCAGCTAATGATAATTAGACATTTGAGGAAAGCCTCTGAAATGAGAGGCATTCATATAAACAAATGGGTGGGGGACTGAGGGAACTGAGGGAATGGAACCAGTGCAGGAAGTAGAGAGAAACAGAAAATGTAATATTCACAGATGAAAGAATATTTTATATGTGAAGAGAAAATGCTATAAAAAACAGTATTCACATAATAAAATATTTATCAAATTAAAAATGTAACCTCCAGAATTAGTGCCATGAAAGGGTTGGGGAAAAATAGAATTTTTAAAAGATAAAAGGGAAAATTGAAGAGATAATTTCTGATGAGAAAATTAAAAGCTATAGAACAGTCTAAATTACAAGTTCTTTGTGGCAGTTACCAGATCTTACAAATTCATTTATATTTCAAAGTGTGTGAATGGTTGATTTATAATAATTTCAGTAGGAGGAACAATGGGTTTTTATATGCAGTAGATGGCAGTGCAT